CTAGTGCAAACTTCAAGCGTCTTCTCTTCCTTTCCTTTCTTTTTCCCATTTTTCCGTCCTTTTACTTTTATACTCTGGGGTAAATCTGTCCGTACATCGTATAACTCTTTTGATTCGCATATCGGCCTCCCTCCCTCCCTGTGTTGACAGTCCTACCGGTTTCCTCCATCTGACAATCCATCCATACATCCCAGACTGCTATTTGCATACATTCATTGCCTAATTTCCATGTCAAATACTCGAAGTGTGCGGGGTCCCTTGTCGAAATCCACCCAAGAGAATTTTGAAAAAGGACCTCGAGCCTTGAACCCTCGGCGCTTCGTAGACAACTCACGCAGCTTCAAAGGAACTTCGCCTTAGTCATTTTGAACTCTAGAGCGTTAATTCAAAGCAAAGCATCCCTTCGGCGCAAAGACTACTTACTCTGTTGATTTGTGAATCTTCAAAGTCAGCCATCTCCTGCATCTGCAATTCCAGAGACTCTTTTCTTTTCTCTTTGCTTCATTGTTTCGTTGGAGCCCTGTTGGTTTGTAATTGGATACCTTGAAAGTTGAGGGAAAAGGTCTGACAAGACGCACGAGCTTCCTCTGATCTTTTTTAACATTGAATTCGAACTCCAATCAACCTATACGCTCACACAAGTTCACAACCCACCTCAATTATTGACAAGCGCTATCGAGAATTTGACATTCGTCCCCTCAGTATTTATCTTCTTGCAACTGCGCGCCTGCCGCGCTAGCACCAACTCGTTTAAACGACTATCTAACATTCCTAATATACATCGTCGACGATATTCTTCTCCGTCTCATACTCGACATAATTGAAGTCAACCTCGGGCTTGCTTTAAGCGCTAGGACCATTAGATCCTCCCTTGAATCTCGAATCTTGAACGACAAGTGACGGTCTTTCTGCCAGCCTTCTTACTGCGAAATATAACGGCAAGCTTGCTGGGCAAGTGATTGTTCATATTGGGCCCATTTGTCTGAATCAAAGCATACAATTTTGTCCTCAAAGCGCAGCCTTCAAGCTGATCGCAAACATATTTGCTTCAATATGGCAGCCGTAATTTCTCCAACGTCTCCAGCTACGTCCCCACCACCAGTTAGTTCTCCCTCATCGAATCCTAACCATCCTTCCCTCCCACCTTTAAACACTTCACCAACCGCAAAACGACCAAATTTGCAACGTCCTACATCTCATGCCTCAAAGAATAGGTTATCACAATACTCGAATTATTCTGCGCCGTCACGTTCGCGACCCCCTTCACACATCTTTCCAGTCTTTCATTCTAGTCTTTCATACACGACAGTTCGCGATTTCGCATACCCTTCTTTGCATCCTATGCACTATGGGCCGCCTCTAGAGCCGTCTCAACCGCCATCGGGCCTCTCGACACCAGCTAGCGAATCGCATAAACGATTGTCAGATCCTCCAACTTCATGGGATAATCGCGGATCTTGGGGACCTGGTCCATGGGGTGGTGATGGATTTATGAAAGGGGAACAATTGGCGCCTATACACTTTGGTGATGGGCCTCCGTGGAGTGAAGATGAGGACCTACAAAGTCCGGTTGTCGTTAGTTCACGCCACAGGAAGCACAAATCATCAGTGGGAGAATATGGAGGACATTCGCGTGGGAGAGGGAGAACGCCCAGGGATGGAGAGCGCAGAACAAGCATGCTAAGTCAAGAGAACTTTGAGGATGACGGAGGATATTTTGCCGGCGGCAGTGGTGATAATAACGAAAGATATTATGTCAATCAAGGAGAGGAGGCAGATGGACCTGGTGGAGAATATGTTACATACCCCTCGGAGTTGGCAAGACGCTCAATGCTAGCGCCGTATAATGTTCCAGGTCAACGAGATTCTCACTTCGCCGGCCTTTTGCCCAGTCGCTCATATACAGACGAGAGTGGCCAAGATTACCGCTCGGAGTCTGATGCTTCGAGTACTGCATCATCGCCCGGCATGACTAGACATGACGAATCGAGATATTCTCGTGATTATCAGTTTACAATCGCCTCGCCGGACGAAGAGATGCATGGTAAAGCCGTTGCATTATTTGACTTTGAACGAGAGAATGAAAATGAATTACCTTTGGTGGAGGGGCAAGTAATCTGGGTCTCATATCGACATGGCCAAGGCTGGCTTGTCGCAGAAGATCCCAAGACACAGGAAAGCGGTTTGGTTCCTGAAGAATATGTTAGGCTACTGAGAGATATTCAAGGAGGCTTAAATAGTTTAACAGGACAGGTTGAGCTGGCTAGTCCCGTGAGAGGTGACTCAGGTACACCTACTCAAGCGGAACACAATCAAGCATTTGGACACAACCCAAGTTCAAGTAATGGAAGCAATGGATATCAACAACCTGTAGTATCTACCTTTTCGACATCCTCTAAAGATTTACACCTATACCCTCAACATCTTCTGGGAACACAGGCTGGTCAAGCTCCACCTCAAGTTATACATTATCATGGGCAACGAGGTGGCAGTCAAGCCAATACGCCTACTATACCTAGCTCCCACGAGGGTCTCATAGAAAGACCTAGTAGTCGAGAAGCTAAAAATGGGCAGCTTGAAGAGCAGTCGAGTAGTAATACAGCACCTATTAAATCCAGTCGTATAGATTCGGAAGTAAAGCTCTCACCATCAGTCGCCGTTCAAGACGCCGAAACCCCCCTCGATTCTTCTAATGATAGCACAAACGAGACGCACGAAACTCCGGCTCGATAACCCAAACATACATTGCTCACGAATATTATGAATTAGTAGACGAGATGGAATATGAATTTTGGGTGGGATTCTTCGGATTTGATAGTGATACCAGGTGATTGGATGGATGTGTGTGTCATATATGATACGTTATTATAGGGATTGAATTGAATTGAATTGAATCGAATCGAATCGAATCGAATGGGAGATAGGGAGGGATCATCTAGATTTTCTAGGAAAGGGAGTGCAAAGGAAAAGGAACTTTCTGATATATCTTATCTCTGTCTCTGTGATGCTATGGTAGGAGTAGGATGAAATGGGAAAGGAAGGGAAGGAAGGGAATTCTAGGGGCTGGTGGATTAGCATGATATTGATGATGGATGGATGAATGAATGGATGGATGGATGGATGGGGTCTAATGATGCATTTTTTGATAGGAAGAATTATGCTATAACGTTTTTATGTGTTCATGCTTTACGTATCTTTTTTTTGGCCTGTGTGTATTGTATTGTATTGTATCGAGTATGTGAATGAGTCCACATGTTCGTACGTTTTAGTGTATCCTAATATTGTTGTATATATATTTTTCAGTTTGGGTTTAGGGGGGTGAGAAGAGGAAAGAGGGAAGAGGGAATTAATTATTTATTACTTTAATATTTGAATACCTATCTATCTATATAGTATTTTTTCCCTCTCCTCTCGTTTCTGATGCATAGTTGTTAATGTGAATGCGGATGTGTTTGGGTACTGGTTGCTGGATACTGGATAGCTCGTATTTGTATGGTTACTATGTAGGTATTTCGTGAGGAACAATTTCTTGATGAGTGAGTAGATGAGTAGGTGTAGGTAGATACTACTAGGTAGGTTTTTACGAGTAGAAGAAGACACATTGGGTTGTTTTTCATGGATTGGATTGGACTATTGGGTTATGGGAAGATCAGATCAAGCGATGATATACTCGGTAGTTTACCCACTGATCTTGGACTTGGGGATGGCGTATTGGGGGATGGGATGTGTGTCGTTTGTATTATGTGGTTGTCTACATATATGGGGTGGGTTGTATGTGCATGTGTAGATATAGATATAGATATTTATGTTTATGTTTATGTGTATGTAGGTATGTAGTGGTATGATTAATTGATGTTTTTGCTTTTGCTTTTGCTTTTGCTTTTGCTTTTGCTTTTGCTTTTGCTTTTGCTTTTGCTTTTGCTTTTGCTTTTGCTTTTGCTGTTTGCTGTTTGCTGTTTGCTGTTTGCTGTTTGTTGCTTGTTGAATACTATGTAGGTGAATGCATGAATGCAAGAATACCTATGTGCTGAATTTATTGCTTTCTTGATTTCCTTGGACTTTGTGTGGTTCGTCAGCTGTGTATTTGGGCGTAAGGTTGCTTATTGAATTTTGGAGGGGAAAGGGTGGAGAGATGGATGAATGAATATGCATGGAATCTAAATTCTAGATGAGTGGTTCAGCTATCAGCTATTAGCCTAGCCGTATTTACCTATTTACCTTTATTGAGAGGAGGGCGATTTATGGAGATGGATGTTAATAGAGAGAAGGACGAGAACGAGCACGAGAACGAGAACGAGAACGAGAGAGAGAGAGAGTCTCTATTCACATACACATACAAATATATATACAAACACCTAAGACATCTCAAAACAGTACATCAAATTGATAGGTATACATAGGTAATGAGTACCAGGTAGAAGAACTTTATGAATATATATCAGTACCTAATCCTAATACTCACTTGATATCTGATATAGTATATCTAGTATTTATTAATTAAATACATAGCTGTAATCTGTAATGTTAATATTAATATTAATATAATGTACAATATACATCTGATAAACTTTATGATTCTGCTATACATCCTGGGGTTTGACGATCTAGCTAACTACTCATTGATCTTGATCTTGATCTTAACATTGATCTTAATATTGATATTGACATTGACATTGATCTCGATATTAAGTATTAAGAGAACATTTGATTTTTGCCGGGTTTCTCAGTCTAGCCACCACATAGCAAGTAGACAAGAAAGAGAGGCATTTCCTTTTCTTTTCTTTTCGCTTGAAGATATCTATATACGCGGTATATTTATAGTATATACATAGGTACCTATGCATTTACGAATTGGCGTAAGCAGATGATGATGGAAATCTTATATCGGGGCCTGAGATTTTTAACGTTGTGATAAACTGGATGAGCTAAATGTACCTATGATAGATTTATATGACTGTTATATTATCCATCTTGATTAATATGATATTATGCCAACAACCTGAGTATTTATCTACTCACTCCATCATCAGGGAAATTGTGTGGAGTGGAAAGAGACATGGAGATTATGATACTACATGATTCAAGATTGCAATTTGAAAAGTTGGAGATAAAGTTGTGATATCTGGTTGATATTTCTATGATTTTAATAAATTGAAATGGTATGTTTGCAATACAACGACTTCCCCTTCATAAAGAAGGTTATTGAAGTACGGACATTGTACTCGGTGTCACCACCTGAGATACTTGCATGATTTTGCTTTCAGCACATCTTCGGCACAACCAACAGTCATTGAAAAAAGACCGAATTGTAATTTGACATCCGTGCTAGACCTTCACTCAATTGCCTAAGCTTCTTACTTGATTGACTGCCTCTCCAGTCACACTCACAACTTTGACCCCTTTCAAACCAAGCTTCATAGTCTCCCATGATTTAGGGTCAACAGCCCGAGTTCCCTCTTCCAGAATGAAAGTGTTGAAACCTTCCTCCGCGGAATCCTCGGCAGTGCACTTGACACAATAATCGGCAGCTAGACCTACTACGTAGACATGGGTTATGCCCTCATTTTTTAAATGGGCTGCCAATCCACTGTCACTGCACCGAGGACTCTTCAAAGGATCGTAAAATGCTGAATACATTTCTACATAAGTATTTTGTCCCTTGAGAATAGTTTGGGTAAACTTGGTTGTGTCCAATTCAAATGGGAACTCGGAGCCGAGCGTATCCTGAATGCAATGAGGTGGCCAGAGACGTGTTTGATAAGTCTCGGAAGGGTTGGAAGGGTTGATGATCGTGGTAAAATCTGCAAATGGTTGTTTACCTGCATGGTTTGAAGCAAAAGATGTATGATTTGAAGGATGCCAATCTTTGGTGGCGATCTTAAGGTGAAATGGAAGACTGAGGAGGCTGTTGATGATAGGAATTGTATCTCTACCATTGGCCACAGCTAAAGAACCATTCTGGAGATTTGTTAGTATGAATTGATGGATGGATGGATGGATGAAAGAAGAGTGGAGTGGATAGGAATTGTAACTTACTGGAGGTAAAAAATCCTCTTGAAGATCTACAACAATTAGAGCAGGCCTGAAAATGGACGTATCAGGAGTTGACATGATAGTGTTATAAGTTGGATTGATACGATGGATCAAATTAAATTCCCAAAGTTTATTCTTATCCGACAAAGTATGAACCAACCTGTGGTCTGTTTTGAGATTGTATCCGTGTGGACTCCGACCATGATAAAAGATTGAAGTTTGACATCAACCCCACCAACGGATGCCGATACATACCCATAAATAGTGTGATCATGTGATTTAGTTCTTGATAGAAGTTCTTGATGGAAGGAAGAGAAAAGAAAGGAAAGGGAATGGAAATATACTTTGCGGCATCTTTGCGGCATATGTATGCATGTATGGATATGCGGCATACGTAGACAGGAGAAAGAGAAAGCTTATTTCCGTTCCGAGACGGATAACTGGTGCTGGTTTGTCGAGATGGGACATGAGCCAATATTATTATATGATTGAACAAGAACTTCTGATATCTGCTTGATGAATTGATCAATGAAAAGAAAGAAGCTGGAAGGGAATGAAAATACACTTTGTGATATATAGGTATGTGCATATATGTACGAAGTATATGCGGTATACGTAGACAGAGTAAAGAAAAAAAAGCTTATTTCCGATACGGATAACTGATGCTGATTTGTCGGGACAGGACAATAAGCTCGTATTATGATATGATTGGATGGGAACTTTTGATGTTTGCTCGATGAATTGGTCAATGAAAAGAGACATGTTCCTGCAGGAGACGTCTCGGACAGCGAGGACAACAGTCGGAACAGCTGTCCAGCGTGACGAGCCCTTGCGGTTTTATATCTGGATCCAGCCATCACTCTCAACATACTCGGCATACTTTGGTACTTGTCGATTGATTGGTGGGTGTGGGATGGAAAAGATGTATAGATATAAGAAGACGTGAGAGTGAATGGCCAAACAAAAGAACAATGTGAAGATGGGATAGGAGAACAATATGAAGGATCTGATAGAAAGAAATTGAATCTTTTCCCCGGGCGGAAAAACCCTCAAAGTTGGTTGGAGTTGAATTGAATGGAATTGAATTGAATGGAATTGAATTGAAAAAAGATTTCTCCAAAGATCGACTTTTCTAATTTCCTTTATCACCACCCATGCTGGACACAAACTCTACTCCCTTTCCGGACTAACTCGCGGATAGTGTCACCGCCTAACTAATGATTAATTTGATCCCTGATTGACAAGCAAAAAGTCAACAAATATCTCATGCTGCCTGTCCATTATGGAGTCCCTTCTTCTTAAAGCTTAAACTCTCGCGGTGGATTCTTATGTGATAACGATTACTTGAACATTACATGACAATCAATTTCCATTGCGTCCTTTGATCTCTTTCTCTTCGTCACATAAATCAAGATATCCCACCTCCAGGAGATATTGTGCCACTCTTACCTTTGGTTATATCTCTTCTTTTTTTGCTTGGTCTCAACACCAGCACATCACTCATTTTTCTCCTTTCAAAAGGTCTCTCGTCGCCATTCTTGGAGTGGTAGAGACAGATAACTTCAAAAGCACACCGGTAGGTTGCATTCTCTCACAAGCCATGCATTTACATTTACCTCAGAACTCTCGATTGTGCGAGCTTTCTTTCCCGTCAGCTTAGCACATAAGAACGGGTATCCCCAGCTTTGCTCCTTTGCTTGACACGCGCTTTTGGCTCATTTACTAACGGTTTCTTCGCATCCAGCCTCTACGGAACTACATATTTCCCTTGTCGATGGCTTTGATTTAGAATACAACTCAGCCTGCTTGTACTTCTTTCACGATGATCGGAAATACGTTCCTACCCTCGCGGTTCAGGGGAACCTCGTCTACCACCGAAACCAATGCCTCCCCGTCATGGCTCAATAGAAAGGTCACCCCACTTCTCCAGCTTCTCTCCCGACGAGCATGTCTACATCCAATCCATACTATCGTTATAGTTGCGGTTTTGGCGAGTACAACGTACATGGGACTTTTGGACAGCAGTCTCTTTGATTCGGTGAAAGCCAGTGGTGCCGATAAAGCAACATGGAGCTCTCTTGTTGCCGGTAACCGTCAATTGCAGATTGGTTCCGAGACCGCCTGGAAATGGCAGACCTCGGATGTGGAAATTGTGCCATCTAACGTTGATCACTTTGCACTTTTGACTTTCGTCTTCCCAGACTCTGCTGCCGCCAATTCTTTGCAGGCAGCCCCATTAGCGGATTCGGTGCCATTACCACAAAATCTTTCAGTTACTCCTCTTCCAACAACTTCAATCCCTTGGGCTTCCTTGTCACAGGACAGTACTTTAGCTTTTGCTGTTCCCTACAATCAAGCCCCTGAATTCCTCGCCAAATCTCAAGAGTTGCCCAATTCCGCTGCTACAATTCCCACCGATCCTAACGCTCGTCAAGCACAGGAGGCAGAGCTTATCAAGGAGAAGAAGATGTGGATCATGAAAGCTGCAAAAGGAGATGAGACCAAAGGAGGATTGAGAAAATGGGCATCAAACGCTTGGACTGAATTTGTTGACCTTCTCAAGAATGCCGAGACACTTGACATCATCATCATGGTACTCGGTTACATTTCGATGCATCTTACCTTTGTCTCTTTGTTTGTCTCCATGAGGCGTATGGGCTCAAACTTTTGGCTTTTTGCTACCACGCTCTTCTCATCAGTTTTTGCTTTCCTCTTTGGGTTGATCGTCACTACAAAATTGGGTGTTCCCATGAACATGGTGTTGTTGTCGGAAGGTCTTCCTTTCCTCGTTGTGACCATTGGATTTGAGAAGGCTATTGTCTTGACAAAGGCGGTTTTGTCAGCGTCACTCAATACCCAAAGACCTAATGCTGAAGTGGCAGAGAAGAAGCTCGGGGTATCTCCTACTTCCATTCAATATGCAGTCCAAGTTGCCATGAGTGAGAAGGGATTCGAGATTGTCAGGGATTATGCCATTGAAATTTGCATATTGATTGCGGGAGCTGCTTCGGGCGTCCAGGGAGGTCTTCAGCAGTTCTGTTTCTTGGCTGCCTGGATTCTATTCTTCGACTGTGTTCTCTTGTTCACTTTCTATACTGCAATTTTGAGTATTAAGCTTGAAATTAACCGAATCAAACGTCATGTTGCTCTACGCCAGGCATTGGAGGACGACGGAGTTAGCCCACGAGTAGCTGAGAACGTTGCCAAAAGTGACGACTGGCCCCAGGCTGACGGTTCCAAGACCAGCGAGGCAAACATCTTTGGCCGTGAGGTCAAGGGTAGCAGCATCCCAAAGTTCAAGGGGTTGATGGTTTCTGGGTTTATCATCATCAATGTTCTCAACCTCTGCACTATCCCATTCCGAGGTGGTAACAGCAGTATTCAATTTCCAGGTGCAAACATGCTTTCAGGGTCTAGTTTCTCAAGTGTCTTGACACCGCCGCCAATGGATCCCTTCAAAGTTGCATCAAGCGGTTTGGATATGATGGCCGAGATGGCAAAAGCCCATGATAAGTCAACAATTGTGACCGTACTTACGCCAATCAAATATGAGCTCGAGTATCCTTCAATTCATTACGCTGAACCGGCACCTAAGCATCGTAAACATGCTGCGGATGACTTTGATGCTGAATTTGCCGAATATGGAATGGGTGGTCGAGTTGTGGACAATCTTTTGAAGAGTTTTGAGGACCCCGTTCTTTCTAAATGGATTGTCGTCGCTCTCACCTTGAGCGTTGTGCTCAATGGATATCTTTTCAATGCCGCTAAATGGAGTATTGGCAAGGAACCACTTCAAATGCCCCCACACCATACTGTTGATGCCAAGGAGCTCGACCAGGCTGAGAGATTCAACAACTCTGCTTCTGTATTGAGGTTGGCAAACATCGATCCTAATACTTCCGATAATGTACCAATGACCCCCGTGAGAACGCCAACTATGACGCCAGCTATGACGCCGGCTTCTACTGACGATGAGGATGAGGGATTAAGTATGCCTGACAAGAGTACCACTGAATCTCAATTGCGCCGAAGTCAGCAAGAGCTTGAAAAAATGCTTGAAGCGAAACGTACACCAGAGTTGAATGATGCAGAGCTCATAGAGTTATCCATGCAGGGCAAGATTCCTGGCTACTCGTTAGAAAAAACTCTCAAAGATACCACTCGTGCCGTAAAAATCAGACGTGCCATCATCTCACGAACCCCTGCAACCTCAGAAACCACACATCTTCTCGAAACTTCATTGTTGCCCTACAAGCACTACAACTACGATCGTGTTCTGGGCGCCTGCTGCGAAAACGTCATCGGTTATCTTCCATTGCCTCTTGGTGTCGCTGGTCCAATTGTCATCGACGGACAAAGTTTTTTCTTGCCCATGGCTACCACTGAAGGTGTTCTTGTCGCAAGTACCAGTCGTGGCTGCAAGGCCATCAACTCCGGTGGTGGTGCTGTTACCGTCCTGACTGGTGATGGTATGACTCGTGGCCCATGTATTGCTTTCGAAACTCTTGAACGTGCAGGAGCCGCTAAGGTTTGGCTTGATTCCGAAGCTGGTCAGCAAACTATGACCGAAGCATTCAACTCTACCAGTAGATTCGCAAGACTTCAATCTATCAAGACAGCCTTGGCAGGCACCAATCTGTACCCTCGTTTCAAAACCACCACCGGAGATGCAATGGGAATGAACATGATTTCAAAGGGTGTTGAGCACGCTCTGAAAGTTATGTCTACTGAATGTGGCTTTGACGATATGGAAATCATTTCAGTCTCGGGTAACTTTTGTACCGACAAGAAGGCTGCTGCTGTTAACTGGATTGATGGACGTGGTAAAAGTGTTGTTGCTGAAGCAATTATCCCCGGTGATGTCGTTCGCAAGGTTCTCAAGACTGATGTAGATGCTTTGGTCGAACTGAACATTGCCAAGAATCTCGTTGGAAGTGCAATGGCTGGTGCCATGGGTGGTTTCAATGCTCACGCTGCTAATATCGTCGCTGCAATCTTTTTGGCTACTGGTCAAGACCCCGCACAAGTAGTCGAGAGCAGTAGTTGTATCACACTCATGAAGAAGTAAGTTGCTTATATTAAAGTTCAGGGACATGTTCACTAACCATATTCTACAGTCTTCGCGGTAACTTGCAAATCAGTGTTTCCATGCCTTCTATCGAAGTTGGTACTTTGGGCGGTGGTACTATTCTTGAACCTCAAAGTGCCATGTTAGATCTTCTTGGCGTTAGAGGGTCTCACCCAACGAACCCTGGTGACAATGCTCGCAAACTTGCACGTGTGATCGCCGCAGCTGTCTTGGCTGGTGAACTTTCTTTGTGTAGTGCTTTGGCAGCTGGTCATCTCGTACAGAGTCATATGGCACATAACAGAAGTGCCCCAGCCACAAGATCCAATACCCCAGGCCCAGCAAGTGGTTCACAAACACCAGTGACTGCAGCAATGACAGCTATGCGAGAGAGAGCTGGTCTGGCTGCCATGTCTCCGGCTTCTGTCCTTAGAAATGCAGGAGCGAAGAAATAGGAGATAGTATTTAATGTATAGGTATAGAGAAGTGCGATTGCATGAAAAGAATGGCGTTAGGGAATGTTCATAGCAACGGGACTGTTCTTTCAATGTTATCTAGCGGAGGCTTATGATACGTGTTTTTCTTTTTCGCTTATGGAACACTTCTTGTTTCTCACATTTGAACTTTGTTGAATGGACTCAGATATAGAAGAGTTGTTAGATATTTTAGATTCAAATGAGACTTGATTGTCACCAGCTTGATTTGCGATTTTTCAGCGCTGTGGCATTGGTTTTTATAATCTACTTCTGATCGGAATCGAGATTTGTGACAATACTTTTGACCTTCCCATCACTTTTTATCACTTTTCCATGACAAGGTTGAGATGATATGCATGTATACGTATGGTCGAAGCATTAATTAATTTAATTCCGTGGTTGCTCTCGCTCTTCCTCTTTTTCGCTAGTCTTGTATATTCAGCAAACACATTATTAGATATATACTCAAGGGCACCCAAGCCCTTCCAACCCAGCCATTAGCTCGCTTCATCTAATGAACATTTTCTCTCAACCCACTCGTCCTCAAACTATGTCCTGTCATGACCAATGGCTCCTTTTGAATCTGACCATTATGCGCCGCCTGTGCATTTCCGTTCCCAGCACCATTTTCCATGCCCGATCCAAGTCCTATT